AAATATTTAAAATTAAAACCGACCGAATTCGGTCAGAAACATTTAATTAAAAATTATTTTTATTTTTAAATTAAATATATATATAATTTTTGTTATATTAAAAAATCAATTGTCTTGGGCGGGAAAGTATGACCAATTTGTTATATTAAATGCAAGTATGACCAAGTCTTGATTGAAGATTGACCAATTTATGATCAAGATCGGTCGGAATTTTTTTTGTTGTGGGACCACTATTTCCGACCGATAGTGATCAGTATATTTGTCAGGAATATTTTTTTTGACTTTTGTGACTAGTTTACTTGATTTCCGACAGATTTCGGTCGATTTTATTTCCGACCAATTTCGGTCAGTATTCTGTGGGCGAGTGTTTCTAGTTTTCTAGTAGTGCCAATCGGTATTTACAAACCTCATGACATAGATAAGAGAGATAGAGAAGCTTCAAGCTTTCCTAGGTCATAAAGAAGCTTCAAGCTTTCCTAGGTCATAAAGAAGCTTCAAGCTTTCTTAGATCTGAAGGAAAAGGAAAGAACCTATGTTTGAAGGAGTTGAATATAATTATGAGGACTTTGAGAAAGTGATTGATATGCGTCAGCGGATGGTTGATAAGGCATATATATACATAGGCAAAATACTTTAAAACCCTCCTAAACTTGACATGAATTATTATTACAACTTTAAACTATTCGTGTTCTTAATTACCCCCTCAACTTGGCCTTTTGAGAACCATTACCCCCTGGATGCTTGTGACGACCCGATCGGTCGTCTTAAGAATTAACGCCTAGATCCCCTATTGACTGTTTTTCCCAAATTTATTTCTGCTATTTTGATTTGCCAGAATATTCGGTTTTGAGTTTCGGAGAGTTTTTGGGATACTTAGTTCCTAAATGAGAGCTTAACTGTTGAAAAATTGACTGTAGTCGGAACAGTGTGAAGACGGCCTCAGAATGGAAATCCTATGGTTTCGTTAGCTCCGTTGGGTGATTTCATGCTTAGGGGCGTGTTCGGATTGTGTTTTGGAGGTTCGTAGCTAATTTAGGCTTGAAATGCGAAAGTTGAATTTTAAAGTTTCCGGTCCGATAGTGAGATTTTGATCCGACGGTCGGAATGGAATTCCGAAAATTGGAGTAGC